ATTCATTCATTCATTCATTCATTCATTCATTCATTCATTCATTCATTGGAGTTCTATCCCGCCCATCTAGACCAAAGGTCTACTTTGGTCATCACCAGGTCTATTTTGCCCCAAATCTTGTCTGAAGTATTGGGGGACTCATCAGAAGGCAACAACTGAATCGCAGAGGATTGGCCAAGAATACCTCCCCCTTTTTGACCATGAAGTGTGTCATGAGCAGAGGTCCATTTGGTTTCATTGGTGCTTCCACTGGCAGAGTAAAACTCTACATTCATCCCATTGATTTCAAGCAGACTGACTTCACTTGGATCCATTTCTTTGGAGGCAGAAAAACTTGAATAATTGTGGTACTACTCCAAAAATGTTTGCTTTATTTCTACTCACCTGAAAAGAAAAAAAAGTGTTATCTTTGAGATGACCTCCTGGGCCAACCTTGGAGTATGAGGCCTAATCCCCTGCACCAAACCTCAGTGGTCTGTTCCATTTTTGGATGTCATTTCAGGTTTTTGGCAAAAGGTCCTCTTCCTATTGCCTGCAGAGGCCTTCCTCGTTTATAATTTTTACAGACACATTTTCTTTTCTTTTCTTTTCTTTCTTTCCATGGAAGGGATGGCCTATGGACCACAGTTTGCTCACCCTCACTTTACAGCAAGAAGACACTTTACAGCTACACATTACAATTACATAATAAGATTGATATGATAATAATATTTATGATGATGCTAATGGTCTATTGAGGCTGAGAGTTATGGGATATGCCAGCAAGGGAATTAAATCCTGGGATTTAATTAAAAAAAACATACCCCACATTTCTTTGAAACATTTATAGCCTCTGGAATCAATATTCTGTTTGGAAAAAGAAACTGTTTGACTACAAGAAAGGCTGGGTAAGTCCAAACTGATTATGGTCATATTTGTTTAGTTCTATGTGCAACCTTCACATAGAATCTTTTTCTCTCTCTAGTAAAAAGTAAGTGGTATAACAGACCCCGCATTGAATGTTTTCCTTAAAAAAAAATTGAGTATCTGTAAATGAGATTTCTTGATTTTTTTTTCTTCTTCGAGATTAAGTGCTTAGTAACTGACTGCTGCTGAATTTGGAAAATCACAAGTGGATGGGGTAATGTTTCATACAAACTCTGGGAGTTTTAGAGAAGGATATCTTCAAATGTCAGTGTGAGGTTTCCAGGTTTTACCCAACTGAGCTTAGAACCATTCCCACTGCACACAATGTATTATTTCTTATTAATATGAGAAGCACTACAATACAATTAATAGAATTCAATATAAAGTTAGGTAATAGCCTCTATATAAACACACATCATACAAAGTAGTTTGTAAAACTAAAAAAGTATGGCTTACATCATTATGTCAGATAATTTTTACCCAATAATGGGCACCATCAAAGGCATTTGGGAGAAGTGGGATTTTCACTCCCCCCCCCCATGTTTTGTCCATCTAATGAAGATGAAACCAAGGTGGAGAATCTATCAGGGATCTCCCCTACCAACTCTCCTCAGACTGAAGAAGCTACTTGGATGAGTAGTGAAACGTTTCAACCTAAGAAGTCCAGTTGCCATGATTTGCCTTCCACATCTGGGGGAACTGACACCAAATCTTCCATGGTACACAGTGAGGGGCACAGAGCATAGTGACGCAGGTATGGAGCTGCCTGTTCTTCTCAGCACTTGCAGAGAACTATGTAGGGGAGAAAACGCTATTTTCTTAGGTTCCCCTCCATTCCACCCACTCCACTCTGTAGCCAACTAAGTGAGTTCCACATAATCTTGTTCCCTGTGTGAGTAGAGGCTTCATTTTCTTAGGTTTCATTTCCCACCCATTTTAGGAGGTGATTGGTTCTTTCTTTGCACATTATATTTCTTACCTTTTCCGCTGTTCCTTCAAAATTCTCAAGTATTCTTTTAAAAAAATCTTGTGCTTGACTTTAGTCTGCAAAGGGCAGGATGGTAGCTGCAGAGTACAGTAGGTACATTTGATGTAGACGTTTTTAGTTTTTCATTATTAGCTGCTGCCTCTCTGTCTATGTCATTTGGCACAATGACTGCTAGATAATTAATTTGATCAATAGGGGTTAGCTTCAGGCATCCAGTAATACCTTCTATAGCTTTCATTTAGTGCTTTCATTGAGCCCAGAAGCTTCAATATAAGGCAAGTGTATGAAAGAATTGTTTGGTTACTAGTGACTATGGATATTTCAAATCACCCTTTCGGTCTTTGAAATGATCCCCGTCCCTGCCCTTGTTGCCAGCTGATGTATAGTGAAAGGATGAAAAAGAACCAAGACCTTACCAGATCTATGGGCTTGTGTGGGAATGAGCAATCAAAATATCCAGTGAAACCCTAGTAGGATGGTTGGGGGAAGAACATTAGAGAAGATATGAAAAGGTCTCATATGTGCAACCTTTAATTGGTTTTGTGTTGGTGAACTTCAGTTGGCATTGAACTTAGAACAACTGGACCACTTCTGGTGTGCTCAAGCTTCTACTCAAAGGCACCAGGAGCAGGCAAGAATGCTGCCGGGCACAGTGCCATGGCCATAGGCAGACATGTGTAAAAGCAGCAGAGTGTGAACACAGTTTCATGTGTTAGCTCATAATTGGAGCTGGAAGCTTTGAAATGTTGGGGAGAGGTGACTCAGACAGTCTTTCAGGTTTGCAAATTCAACTTCAAAGGAATCCCATGCTTAGCCAAACTGGCACCCAAAAGGGGGGGGGGAGGGAAAGCCAATTTGAATATATGCCCAAGATGACAGAAACTCTTGCTGTGACACTTAGATGCTTTCATTAGTTAACATTTCCAATTTTTGAGCTATCCACAGCATCACTTTCCAACCTAAAATGAACTGAAAAGGGGAGATGGAGGAATCAAGGGGCAGGAGCCAGAAGATTCCATTTTTCATATTCTGCATTTATTAATTACATGATCAAAAAGTCAATGAACAGGTACAGGCTGCCACTACTGTACATGGAAATCCTGTGTGACTGAAGCGTTTTCTTTTCACTTGACTGTACGCTTTGCAAAATTGTCCTTGGAGCAGCCACAGGGTTGTCCCGATGCAAGAGTGATGTAGTGATTGCTGTGAAAGATTATTTTAAAAGCCAAATAAGTGAAAATGCTAAGTGTTTTTTTTAAAGATCCAAATGATTGATCTTGAATTACTCAGTTCTTCACTGTGCATTTAAATATGTCTAACTCAGTTCCTAATTTTAGCTCTTATTTCTGACTGAAGGTTCATTCTACTGGAGAAATGGAAGAGGTGAACGACACTCAAGTGTCTGATTTCATTCTCTTAGGATTCTCGGAGTCTCCCAAAGTCAAGCTACTCTTGTTTGTGCTCTTCTTGCTGATTTACCTTCTGACCCTGACAGGAAACATGAGTATGATTGTGCTGATCCAGAGAAATGTCTTCCTGCAGTCTCCCATGTACTTTTTCCTCGGCAACCTTTCCTTCATTGATATCTGCTACTCTGCCATTATCATCCCCAGGCTGCTGTATGATCTCCTTACAGACAGCAAGTTGATCTCGTACACTGCCTGTGCAATTCAGATGTGGTGCTTCACCCTGTATGCCACCACAGAGTGCTACCTTCTAGCTGCCATGGCTTATGATCGCTTTGTTGCCATCTGTAACCCCCTGTTTTATCCTGTTGTCATGTCCAGAAAGGTCTGTCTACAGCTGGTGGCTGGCTGCTATCTGGTAGGCCTAGTGAATGCCTCTGTCCACGCCAGTGGCATATTTAGGCTGTCTTTCTGTGGCCCCAATGATATCAGCTCCTTTTTCTGTGACATCCCTCCTTTGCTGCGGCTCTCCTGTTCAGACAACTATGTTTCCAAGGTGGTTCTCTTTGTTCTGTCCACTTTTGTCGTGGTCGCAAATGCAGTGATAGTTCTCATCTCCTATTCTTATATCATTTCCACCATCCTGAGGATGCAGTCCTCCACAGGTAGGCAGAAGACTTTCTCAACCTGTGCTTCGCACTTGGCTGCCGTTGTGTTGTACTATGGGTCCTTAACGTTCATGTATGTACAACCTGGAGGTCTTGAGGCTGTGGAACAGGATAAAATAGTGTCAGTCTTCTATACAATTGTGATACCCATGCTTAACCCTGTGATCTACAGTCTGAGGAATGAGGAGGTGAAAAAAGCCTTAAAGAAAAGGCTATGCAAGAGAAACTTTGTTCAGCAGCTGAAGTTGTGAGGATTTTTTAAAAATATGGTGATGATTGTAAGGTTTCTTATCAATGACTCCTCAGTTAATGGAGCAGTCAAGATATAAGATAATGTCCTTTTATGGATTGGTTATAAGAAGAACTGAGAGAGTAGAACTAAATGAACAGCACTTGTAACAGGAGGGTACAACACGGAATTCTCTTAAGCATCAGTAACAGGAGGACTGGTGTTTTTTTCACCTTGCTCATAAATGACTGAAAGTTGGGGTGAGCAGTGGGAAATGGAATGAAATGAAATAAATGTAGGTTTGCTTTTCACACTATAGATTGGGACTTTAATGCAGGGAGTACAGCTAAATCTTCCTGCTTGCAGTCTGCATTGTTCAGCATTCCAGCAAAACTAAGAGGAGGTGGAGTGGAAAGGGATGGCTACTCTAGGTTGCCATCTTTTCAATTATTAAAGAGCTGAGTGCAAATGTGTGACTGGGGCACACTGTAGTTTCTAGACAGCACCCAACTGTCCTTGCCCATGGGCATCCGACCACTCCTGGAAGACATGAGACTCACAAATGTTAAAGGGAGAGAGAGGCAAGTATCATTTCGATTCCCCCCCATCCCTCAAAGCAAAGGCACAACGCAGGGCCACAAGGCATCACTTGCAAGGTTAATTATGCGATTCATAAATGTCCAGAGGCCATCTGTTCCAGCTCTAGAAGCTGTGCTTCAGAATGTATCTGTTCTCCCCTCTGATGTTTAGAACTTCTAAGTGATCACGATGTGTGTCTGCACCTCTTCAATCAGTCTTCAAACAGAATTCTTTAAATTGAGAGCTAAGGGACTAATTGTAAGTCATCATCAAAGCAAGGAACTTCTACTTCAAGTTGTCCTTTGGCTAAAAAAGAACAACAAAACACTATGCACTTTCCTGTCTCTGTTCTCTAAGGCAGACATAGGCAACTATGGCAGGTGCAAAGGCTCATTTCCTAGCCCAAGGGCTCTCCAAGGGCTGTGCAAGCCACTAAAGATGCCCTAGAAATGCAAAACCAGAAAGTGGAAGGAGCTAGATGAGCACATTCTATTTTGCAAAAATGTTATTTTGTGGTAATAAATGGTGACAGGGAAAGGACTCTGTGACTTCAAGAAAAAATGGATTACCAGTTGTAGCGGTTTCAGGAGCGGCACTTCATCTTTGTTTTACCAACAACCACAAAAAAGAGGAGATGTGGGCTGAGGAAGGGCAGGGGCACCTAAAACAGCTTGGTTGTTATATTTGTAAACACTTTTCAAGAAGGAGACCTATGTTAGTTGGTTTCAGTAAAGACAAAAACAACTGTGGAATCTTTAAGGATATCTGATGTATATGAATAATGTGTCCAACAGAAGAGGGTGACAGCTTTCGGGGGGGGGGGAGCCACAATTGGAGAAGACTTTGTTTCTACACTGAGCAGAAGGCCTCTTCAGAATGTTGAAGAAACGGACAATTTAGAAGGTCATCATCAACATGTGCTGTCAAGTCAACTTTGACTCATGGTGACCCTTTTCATGGTTTTTCAGGTACAGCAGTGGTCCCCAACCTTGGGCCTCCAGATGTTCTTGGACTTCAATTCCCAGAAATCCTGGCCAGCAGAGGTGGTGGTGAAGACTTCTGGGAGTTGTAATCCAAGAACATCTGGAGGCTCAAGGTTGGGGACCAATGAGATAGAGGATACTCAGAGGTAGTTTACCATTCCCTTATTCTGGAGGTGCCCCAGGACTGTGCAGCTTGCTCAAGGCCATACTGGCTGGCTCTACTAAAAGGAGGAACAGTGGGTAATTCTGCTTCCAACCTCTGGCTCTGCAGCCAGTTACCTAAACCACAGTTATCCAATAAGTTATCCACCCAGCTTTTAGAAGATAAGAATATAGGAATAACAATAAAAGAACAGATTGAAGCAGATTAAGATCAACATTTGGATGAGTCTGGCATGGAAGCAAGAGCAGGAAAGCCTTAAAAGCTATGGTTCAGCAGCACGGTAAAAGTAACAGATGACACTGGGGTAATGAAAGGTCAAGCAGAAGACTGATATAGTCTGAATCATGTCCTGAGGAAACCATATAAAGAAGGAGTTGATACCAGCCAAACACAAAGTTCCAGTGATATTTTTTGGTGGCATACATCAGTGGATTGCAGACAGCTGTGTATCTACCTTATGCCCCAGCAGTCTGATGTAGAATTCTGTGAGAACTTGTGTATTCAAGAGATAGCATTGTATCAAGCATCCAGTGAAGGAAATGGCTTTATAGTCAATCTTGACAACATCCCATGCATCATGTTGGAGGGACAGCAATGACCAATAAAGAACATGTTTCTGTGGGGAAAATATGCATGGGAGTTTGGAGTTTGGAGTCTGTCTTGATTAAAGTGATCGCTCCGAGATTTCTCATCACAGTGATAATACTAGAAGGGACAACGCATAAGGGCAGAAGCTGCTATTCTGGATGATATACAAATTCTAAGAGAACAAATTCAGATAGGTATGTATGAGTCTCTTCAGCCATTTTTATGCGTTTTATGTGTTGGAGTAAAAAACAAAAAGCAGGGCATCTTACAAGTTTTGCTAGGAAACTGAAGCAATTCAGTTTCTATGTTTCTTCCTTTTCTTTCAAATGGAAATGATAAATACTATGTATATAAAGTCATATGTATGGAACTGAGTTGCTTCAGCTTGTGTGTGTATACATGCAGTATAAAATACACACACATATCAATATACATTGAGTAATTTAATGAGCTTGTGTGTGTATACATGCAGTATAAAAATACACACACATATAGCTGTCTCTGTGTGTGTGTGTGTGTGTGTGTGTGTGTGTGTGTACGTATGTATACACATACAGCACACGCACACACACCAACACACACACACCAACACAGGCATATGCAAAAATATAAATTTGTTAAATTACACAATATATATTAATTTTGTGGTAAATACCTAAAGCAAGATATTTTCCCCCACACACACACACACACACACACACACACACACACACACACACACACACACACACACACACACACACACACCATCACAGGCATATGCAAAAATATAAATTCGTTAAATTACACAATGTATATTAATTTCGTGGTAAATACCTAAAGCAAGAAAACATATTTTCCCCACTTGTTAAAGTTTATGATTCTTTTGGGATGGGGGTTCTGCCAAGATTTTGTTTCCTCTGAACAAAAACAACTATAATTTCACCTTGGAATCTATTCTGTTTAAAATACTATAAAACTGTGCCCATAAATATATCTGAGACTTCATGTTTATAGAGATATTTTCCCATAAACTAGCTGAAATACATTTCATCAAGTTTTATTCTTCAATTTTTACCAGAATGTTTAGCCTGACAAACGTTTATTAGGGTTAAAGTTCCCCCTTTCCTGACAAGTATATTCCTGCTGCTTCTTGCCTTTTCTATTCTACACTTCAAACCCATCTAATTGCAAATGAGTCTCGGGGCACAGTTATACTGTAGAAATAAACTGAACGCTGCTTCAGGTTTTTTGAAGTCCATTTATTGTCATGTGGTCTTTGTGTTGGTGTGTGCATCCTAATGGGGGAACTAGTACGTAGTTTGATGCAGTATATCAGTCCGGGATTTCAAATCATTTCATTTAGAAGCAAATTTGCAATTATGTGTTCCAGATGGGGGTGGGTGGGCATAAATACAAATGTTTCATTTTTTACTCCATCAAGTGAAATCTATAAAAGGGGCTGAAAAAGGACCCCAGGGAAAAAGTGGGAGAAAGGGAAGCAGAAAAGTGCCAAGGCCAGGTGGAACCCCTCCAACCTTTCGTTGTTGTTATTGTTATGATAGCTGTTTGGCTTGAGTTATCATCTGACAAGGGCTCCTCTCCTCTTACCTTGTCTAGCTCAGGTCACCAGTTTAGCTTCTTCCTCCTTTCACAAGAAGAGTAGGAGGTGGAAAGAGAAGTATTGGGGGAATGGGGAAATTGCATGTTAAAAAAGCAAAGGCAAGCAGTTGTCAGCTACATCTGAAGAGGAGATCCTCACCACTGCTGCCACCTTTAGACAAACAGATGGACATGTGCCCCCACACTGCATACTTTGTCACTACTGTTTCTTGCCAAAGAAGAGTTGACTAGTCCCGTTAAGAGCCCGATGGAGTCTGTTTCCTCACGGTCCTCTTGGAGCCTCTGATTTCCTTCTCTGGCATTTCTCTCTCCTCCCTTCACAGAGCTCTTCATAAACGGAGTGGTTTTTATTGTTGTTGTTATTTTTGAACTGGCCTAGTTTGAACTGGCCTAATGCTAGATCACAGTTCCAGACTGAAAACAAAATTATAATGGATCAGACTGCAACGTCGCCCTGCATCCTGAAACATGTGATCCTCGGTTTCAACTCTGCTCTGGAACACAGTTCCATTGTGCTACTTATGAGAACTAAACAAACGAAACATGCGATCCTTGGTTTCAACTCTGCTCTGGAACACAGTTCCATTGTGCTACGTATGAGAACTAAATAAACAACAAGAGAAAGATATGGAAATTGCCAATTAGCACTTTGTTAGCATCTTGAGACAGCTTTTGCTGTTGGCAGGCCTGAGGAGAGGGGGGGTGCAGTTGGTACATTGTTCCGGGGCCCATGGAGCCATGGAGCTCAAAAGGGGCCCATGAAGGGAGAAATGTTTTAAAATTTACAAAACCAAATTTCTAAAAAGAAAAACAATATTGGATATTGTGATGAAACCGTTATGTTTCATGTACTGTTTGATTTGTATTTTCTGTTTTAATTCAAAGGGCCTGTGTTAGAGGAGTCCTGGCTGGGAGGGGGGGAGAGGAGTGACTGCCGGCCAGTCGACAGTCTCCAGCTGGAGATAAGGGGATGGGCAGAGCCTCTCACTCTCTCTCTCTTGCCTGTGAGCTGTGCTGCTGGATGCGAGAGCTGCTCTGAGGAGGCAGAGACAGGAACCCAGAGATAGGTAGATAGCGTTAGGGGTTCTATTTTCTTTGAGTCTCTGT